CTTGAGCCACAGTGCCACTTCTGGCTTTTTTCTTTTCTTTTTTTTTTTTTTTTTTTTGTCGGTCGTGGGGCTTGAACTCTGGGCCTGGGCGCTGTCCCTCAGCTCTTCAGCTCAAGGCAAGTGCTCTACCACTTGAGCTACAGCGCCACTTCCGGTTTTCTGATGGTTTATTGGAGATAGGAGTCTCACGGTCTCTCTTGCCCGGGCTGGCTTTGAACCGCGATCCTCAGATCTCAGCCTCCTGAGTAGCTAGGATTACAGGCGTGAGCCACCAGCGCCCGGCTGGCTTTTTTCTTTTTTTGCTTATGTGGTGCTGAAGAATCGAACCCAGGGCCTCAGGCATGCAAGGCAAGCACTCTACCACTGAGCCACCTTCCCAGCCCTGGTATGACTTTTTGAACCCTACTTTTGATGTGAGGTGTGAAGGATGGGGGCTTTACAGGGCCCGAGGGCCATCTGTGAAGGAGCTGGGCAGCCCATGCTTTCTCCACTCAGTTGAATCTGTCATTTGAGAAGCTTTCCTGGAGTGGAGTCCTGACTGCAGTTCTTTCTGGGCTCAGTGTGGACCCTGAGTCTCTATGGCCCAGTAAAGTCGTGCATTCCTGAGATCCCTCCTTTTGCCTACCAGCCCCCTTTCCTGCCCCTCACTGAGGCCGGGAAGCTCAGAGCCCCTTACCAAGTCCTGTAATGGCCAGCCTCTTTTGTCTACGTCCCAGTGGGCCACAAGTCTGCCTTTGTCAACTCACCATCACGTGGGACCGTGCCAGGAGGGGCTGGCTAGCATTCTGCCTTTAGATGAGACAAGCCCCCAGAAGTCTGCCTCCACCCTAAGCTCCCACAGACAGAGCTGGCATGAATGCAACAGCCTGCACTGTCACAAACCCACTGTGGTGAAGACAGTCCCCAAGAGACAGCTGCTCATGTCAAGAGAGATTGCCCATTCATTCTTTGTCTGTAGATGCTTGCTGAGGCCTGAACTGTGTCAGGCCTTCCACGGTGGGGGACTTGTGCTAGGAGATGGGGAGTTTTACCCTTGTAGGGCAACTAGATGTGAAGGAAGCCAGGCATGGTGGCTCACACTTGTAAGCTTAGTTATTTAGGAAGTTGAGATCTGGAGGAAACAAGATGGAGGCCACCCTGGGCAAAAAGTAAGACTCCCATCTCAACCAATAGCCGGGTGTAATGGTGTGTGCCTGTCATTGCAGCTATGTGGAAGGTTGAGATCATGGTTCTAGGCCAGCTGGGGCCAAAAAGTTTATGGCACTCCATCTCAAGGGAGGCTGAGTTCACGTAATGGTACATACCTGTCATCACAGCTACTGTGGGAAGTACAAAACAGGGAATCAAGATTCAGGTAGACTGGGCAAAACATGAGATCCTATTTTGAAAATAAGTGGCACAAATTGGCTAGAGATTTGGCTTAGTGATAGAACACCTGCCCAGCAAGCTTAAGGTCTTGAGTTCAACTCAGCACTGCCAGAACAATACAAATGAAATGACAACAAGATAGAAAGAACTGGTTCACATCAGAATCACTTGGGAGAGAGCCTACCTTAAGAGTTTCTAGTTCAGGGGCTGGGAAGGTGGCTCAGTGGTAGAGCGCTTGCCTTGCATGCCTGAGGCTCTGGGTTCGATTCCTCAGCACCACATAAGCAAAAAGAAAAAAGCTGGAAGTGGCGCTGTGGCTCAACTGGTAGAGTGCTAGCCTTGAGCTGAAGAGTTGAGGGACGCCCAAGCCCAGAGTTCAGGCCCTACGACGGGACCCCCCCCCCCCAAAAAAAAAAAAAAAAAAAGAGTTTCTAGTTCAGTAGGTCTAGATGGGGATGTGAGAAATTCTAACAGGCTTTCCAGTGATTTTTTTTCTTTTTTTTTTGGTCATGGGGCTTGAACTCTGGGCCTGGGCACTGTCCCTGTGCTCTTCAGCTCAAGGCTAGCACTCTACCACTTGAGCCATAGCGCCACTTCCTGTTTTCTAGTGGTTTATTGGAGATAGGAGTCTCACAGACTTTCCTGCCCCAGCTGGCTTTGAACTGTGATCCTCAGATCTCAGCCTCCTTAGTAGCTAGGATTACAGGCGTGAGCCACTGGCACCTGGCTTCCAGTGATGTTAATACTGTTTTAGTGACACAGAATCTTTCTCTCCTTCCTTCCTTCCTTCCTTCCTTCCTTCCTTCCTTCCTTCCTTCCTTCCTTCCTTCCTTCCTTCCTTCCTTCCTTCCTTCCTTCCTTCCTTCCTTCCTTCCTTCCTTCCTTCTGCTGGGGATGGAGCCTAGGACCTTATGCGTGCTTAGGGAATCACTCACTACTAAGCTGATTCATCCCAAGGCTCAGGAACCACACTTTGAGTGCTATTGTAATTCAGGACCAGGTTGTGATTCATATCTGTAATCCCCAGCATTAGGGAGGCCGAGGCAGGAAGATACAAGTTCAAGGTTAACCTAGACTATATAGCAATATCCTGTCTCCATTAAACAACTAAAGAAACTTTGTATGATTCTGTCTCATTTTTATGAGTAGAAGTCAGTTATTCAAAAGCTAACTTGTGGTTCCCAGTGCTCCGGGTGTGGTCCTGTGAGGAGTATGTCACCATCTATGACCTAAACTTCATACATCTGTTAATGTAGCCAGCATCATGAACTTGTGAATCTCTACCACTCCCCTCAAGCTTATTCTGAACTTGAGATCCACTTAGACCTCCAACTCCTTCCTCACTATTGGAGCCTATTAGACTAACTGCAGGGGATATGAGTGAGCTGCACAGCTGAATTTGGACCCAGGCCCATGTGACCTAGCCTGGCTTGAAGTTAGCCATGGGCCTGCACTTCCTTGAGTGTTGGTCCTTCAGGCTTCCTTGAATTGGTGTGGGACCCCTCACTTCCTCATTTCTCTCATTGGTGTGATCATTTTCTGCCCCGCTTCCTCTTTTTCCACTTCTAGTCTGACCACTTGGTGTGGATGGTGACTCAGTGTATTTTGGGATTTGGTGGGGGTGCATCCTGGTGAGGGGACTCTCCTACAACTGACCACATCATCCATTTTGAAGGTACAGCTGTAAACCCCCTTCTTCCAGTGGCTGTAGTGTCAAGTGAGGAAGGAATAAGCCCATTAAACAACTGGATGGGTAGACTTGCTTCCTAGCTGCTTATAACCTGCCTGGAGGCACTGCTTCCAGCCAGGCCTGTGAATCAGACCCAAGGCCACGCCCCCTTCCCACTATGAGCCACCCTAGCTGGCCCCAGCCTGCCCTGGCCTGCAGGCAAGCAGGTGTGAAGCGAGGACCCTGCTGAGTTAGCAGACTGCCCGAGGGGGGGGGGGGGAGAGAGAGAGAGAGAGAGAGAGAGTTTAGAACATCCTTCCTGGAGTTGAGGGAGCTTAAGGATGTGTAAGGACAAGAGACTCCACCTCCTAGACCCTTAATTCTCATTTTCTTGGGGGAAATTTGAACTTGGAGGATAGAGACTAGCACTCACTATCTTGTTTCCCCTCCCATTAGCCTCTGGGCTTTGCATGCACTGTTCCTGGCACTTTTTTTCCCTCAGCTTAAATGTCCCTTCTTTAGGAATGGCCTCCCTGATCATGTCTCCTAACATAGCACTTTTCTCTCATTTGTAGCATTATCCACATTGCTGTGGTTTTTGTTTTTGCTATCATGACACTTAATAGTAACTGCATTAATGTGTGTGTTTATTTGTTTGCTCTGTATTTTGCCAGTGAAGCTTGAGGCAGAATATCTAGAAGGGATTGATTACCAGTGTGCCCCTGCCCTGTGCTTAGGATAAGGTCTAGGGCATAGAGGGCACTCATAAATATTTATTGAGTGTTTCTACAGTGTGTTTCCTATATTTGCTATAATGAGTCACCATGAAGTGGCTATGTCAGCTTTTCATCACTGACAAAATACCTATGGCAATCGAGTTAAAAGAAAGGGCTATTTTGGCTCATGGCTTAAGAGGTTTCAGTCCATAGTTGCTTGGCCCATCACATTGTACACATGGTGTGGCAGATTATCATGGCAGGGAAAGGGCGGCAGAGGAGGCTGCTCTTCTCATGGTGGCCAGGAAGGAGGGAAAGAGGCTGAGAGGCTCCCTGGTTCTAATGACCCACCATCTTCACTACCTGCCTCAACTCCTAAAGCACCCATTTTCAGTTGTGCCACAGGTTGACAACCAAGCCTTTAGCATGTGGCCTTTGGGAGACCTTCAAGACCCAGACTAAGAAAGTGGGTTAACTCGATTATCCCCCAATTCTGGAGGTCAGGAGTCTGCAAAGCAAGGTGTTGGCAGGGTTATATTCCTCCTGGAGGCTTTAGGGAGAACTGTTTTTTCTGTCCTTTTCCAGTTTCTGGAGGCTGCTCACATTCCTGGGCTCATGGACCTTTGTTCACCTGCAGAACATCACTCAGCCCTTGCTTCCTCCTCACATTGCCTGCTTCCACTTGCCTCCCTCCCTTCTCCTCTCCCTGTTTTCTCCTTCCCTCCTCTCCCCTCTTTTTTGTTTTTTGCTGGTCCTGGGGCTTGAAGTGTGGGCTTGGGTGCTGTCCCTGAGCTTCTTTTTGCTCAAGGCTAGTGCTCTACCATTTTTAGCCACAGCGCCACTTCCAGCTTTTTCTGTGATTAATTGGAAATAAGAGTCTAACAGACTTTCCTGCTTGGGCTAGTTTTGAACCTCAATCCTCAGATCTCAGCCTCCTGAGTAGCTATGATTACAGGTGTAAGCCACTGGCACCTGGCTTTGTGTCCCTTTTCTGAGGACCCTGGAGATGAAATTGGGCTCACCCAGATAATTCCTTCCCTTAAGATACTTAAGCACATCTGCCAAGTCTCTATTATCACGTAAGGCATGTATTCATTCATGTTAAGACATGATTCTGGGAGTTTAGGTATGGACATCCTTGGGGTCTGTTATCCATCCTACTATTCTTAGAACCCTGGGTACTGGCTCATGTAGGGTGTGGCCACTGTCTTGGAGCCCAGGGACCTGACTACTTCTTCCCCCTGTAGGATGAGATTGAGGAGCTGCGGGCGGAGATGCTGGAGATGCGGGACGTCTACATGGAGGAGGATGTGTACCAGCTGCAGGAGCTGCGGCAGCAGTTGGACCAGGCCAGCAAGACCTGCCGCATCCTGCAGTACCGGCTTCGCAAAGCTGAGCGCCGCAGCCTCCGTGCTGCCCAGACTGGCCAGGTGGATGGTGAACTCATCCGAGGGCTGGAGCAGGATGTCAAGGTCAGCCTGGGGTCCTCGGCAAACCTTCACAGGTGCCCTGGCTAGGGGATGGGGCCAGGAACCCTAGTGGGGGCTCAGTTCAGGTCTGTGGCTCACTTTTGTGTATCCAGTTACACTACCTATCTGGTCCCCAGTTTCCCTGCTTGCAAAGTGAGTGTTCCTGGTGAATCCACAGGCCTTCTACCAAAGGCACCCCAAGGTGCTATCATAATCTGAAACCCACTAACAGCAGATACCTCTTGCTGGCTGCTAGGTGTTGGGTTTCCATTATCCCTGCATAGTTCTGAGCTTTCTTGGACTAATGAGAGTGGTAAAGGTCTATTGCTGCACAGGGCTGGCTTACACTCGCCTTCAGTATGCCCAGATTTTGTGCAAAGTCCTTATGTTTGTTTGCTCATCTGTAAAATGAGTGTGAAAACAGCTTGTTCTACATAATGTAGAAAAAATGTAGAAAAAAAGTTAGCTATTATTTCCATTTTCTAGATGTAATCTGAGGCACCTCACCAAGGTCAGCGGGGATCCTCATGTAGATGGCAGAAACCAAGCTGTCAGCCTCCCAAGCCTCAATATCTGCCTCAGGAAGCCAAGGAGGGGTGGGGCCTCAGGAGAGACGTCCACCTTGGCTGTCTGTGGAACTTTGTGTGGGGTAGAGTGGGGGAAGGGGGGAAACAAACTTCTTGGGGACTCTGGACCAGCCTTCTATCCTCAGAACTCAGCTCAGTGGGATTGGGGGAGGGATTTCAAGCTGGGGCTCCCCAGGCATGTGGTACAGCTTGCAAAGGGAGTCCTACGCAATCTCCCTGCTGAGGTGACTTCTGAGAAGTGGTTCAGTCAGAAGGGAAAGAGGTGGCTTTGAAGGACCCAGGGGATTAGGCAGGATGAGGATCCTCCCCTTCCCCACCTGCTGCCAGAAGACACTGGCAAATTCAAGCCATGGAGTGGAATGTAAAAAACAAGAAACAACCCTATTAATTAGGGGCCATGAGTGCTGTTTCAGAGATCTGTGGGACCAGGGTAAGTCAACACTGAGTGCCAGCTCAATGAGTGCCACCTCAACATCACCTCAAGTCTTGACATTTCCTCTGTGGAAACTGATCAGAGTGGAGCCCTGATTGTTCAGGAGCAAACCACATCTGCTCCTGAGGGGGGATAGATGCACTTGGCAATAAATGGCTAGATAAATAGAAATAGTCAAATTCCAGGCACAGCTTGGGCTGGAGATGGTTTGACCCTCCTTCTTCACCCCACCCCTCCTCTTCCACCCCATCTCCCAATTTATGCTGGTACTGGACCTGGGCATTATCTCTTAGCTTTTCCATTCAAGACTGATGCTCTACCATGTGAGCCACAACTCCATCTCAACTTCCAGACTTTTTTTTTTTTTTTTGGATGGTTAGAGATAAGAATCTCACAGACTTTCTTGCTAGGGCTGGATTTGAACAGTGTTCTTCAGATCTTCAGATCTCTCCTGAGTGGCCAGGATTACTGGTGTGAACCACTAATGCCTACTTGAGCCCTTATTTAAAAAGGAAAGAAAGAAAAAACCAACAGTCAAAAATCTAAGCTCTGGATTGGGAGGAGAGAGTGTTTAGTGTTAGGGGAGGACGGAAATATGCAGGAGAGAGCCAAAGAAACGCTGAGGAATCATTCTTTTTTTTTCACTCTCTCCCAGTTGCTGAGGATTTCTGCAAGAGGAGGTGAGGAAGGGATGCCTGTTTCTCCCACAGGGGCAAGGTGTAAAGGGTGGGCTCCACGATCATCAGCTCCCCCTTGCCTGTTGGGCAGGGCAGGAGTAGCTGGAGATGGGGGTGGGAGGAACTCTCTGGGGTTAGGGTGGAGGGGAGGGGCCCCTTCTGTTAGGATTTGAATTAGCCAATCAGCATTGGCTGTGCCCCTTCCTCCCTCCTTTTTCTCCCTCCTTTCCCTGTCTACACCAGCAGCTGCAGCGCTGAGCTCATCTGCTGGCTCTGCCTGTGCAGGACATCTCTGGCCACCACCCTTTGTCCCAACATGTTGGGGTGTTCTAGAGTATTTTTGAGAGGTCTTCAGGATGCGGCTTCCCCCAGCATTGCCCAGGCCTGCTTGTTGGGCCCACTTGATAGGCTCAGTTGGGGATGCCTGGACTGGATCCCTGGATCCCTAGAAACTCTCCAGACTTGCTTTGCCAGCTTCTTTGTTGGCTCTCCACCTGACTGGCCCCTACCACATGTGGCCTCAATTTCCCCAGTTCGGGGGCTTAGCTTAACTGAATCTTAAAGGTTTTTGCCCTCTATTAATTATATTGGGTGGCTACGTTTTTTTTTTTTTTTTTTTGAATTCATCCATTCAATGTTTATTATGAGAAAGAGGCTACACAATCTAGTGGTTAAAAGGATACACATGGGTATCAGGAAGAAGGGTTCAGACCCTAATTCTACTTTAAACTTGGAACTCTTGAGGTGCTAGGCTAACATGCCATGCTAGGCTTAACTGCCACTGATCCACACTCTGAGCCCCTTTGGGACAATTGTATTCATCTGTGTCTTATTTTGTCATCTGCAAAATGGGTACACCAGCAGAGTATTAAATGAAACAATGCTTGTAAAGTTCTTAGCAAAGACCTGCTTATGGTTGTCTAAAAGTAAATAATCATTGTAATTAATAGTACTGGTTGCAAAGCACTTATTATAGTTTCTGCTAATAAACTTTTAAATGATGGTAGTAAGAATTAAGAGAAGCTGGGAGGGGCTGGGAAGGTGGCTCAGTGGTAGAGTGCTTGCCTTGAGCTGAAGAGCTGAGGGACAGCGCCCAGGCCTCACGACAGGACCAAAAAAAAAAAAAAAGAGAGAGAGAAAGTGGGAGCCAGTGGCTCATATCTGTAATTCTAACTACTCAGGAGGCTGAGATCTGAGGACTGTGGTATGAAGCCAATCTAGATAGGAAAGTTGGTGAGACTTTTTTTTTGGTCAAGGAGCTTGAACTCTAGGCTTGGGTGCTGTCCCTGCACTCTTCAGCTCAAGGTAGGTTTGAGGATTGTGGTTTGAAGCCAGTCTAGCAGGAAGGTTGGTGAGACTTTTTTTTTTTTGGTCAGTCATGGGGCTTGAACTCTAGGCTTGGGCGCTGTCCCTGCGCTCTCCAGCTCAAGGTGAGTGCTCTACCGCTTGAGTCACAGCGGGTGGCTACGTTTTTAGTAAGGGCTGTTATGAATGAAAAGTCAGGCTTTGGTTTCCCATTTCTAGTCTACCCCACCCCCTGATTCACTCTGCTGGCACCCATGTCTGGGCAGACCTATAGATCCTCTGCAGGGCCCTCTGTCCATCTAGAGGCAGGCAGGGGCCAGTGGGCAGAGACTTGCTTGCTGTGTGACCTTAGGTAAGCTTCTTCACATCTCTGAGCTTCCTCCTGAGGAAACTGGAGATACGACTATTTCTTTCCTCTAGAGACTTTTTTTTTTTTGTCTGCCCTGGGGCTTGATCCCAGAGCCTGGGTGCTGTCCCTGAGCCTCTTTGTGTTCAAGGCTAGCACTCTACCATTTGAGCCACGTACCACTTTTAGCTTTTCTGTGTAGTTTTTTTTGGATAAGAGTCTCATGGACTTTCCTGCCCAGGCTGGCTTCCAATCTTTATCCTCAGATTTCAGCTTCCTGAGTAGCTAGATTACACCGACACTCGGCAGCTCTAGAGACTTTTGTGAATAGAAAATGGAATAATTTAAATGAAGAGATGCTAAGTGGTGCCCAGGAACTGAGCATGTGTTGGCGGGTGCCAGGTCCCAAGGCTCTGGGGGTCCAAATTATCATCTGCAATGGCCCCTATGGCAGTCCCCAGGACCTGTCAGTAGTACTTTCCCTGTCTTGGGCACAGGCATTTCTGGGGAAAATGCCCTGGTCTTGGCTTTAGTTCTTAGGTGTTCTGTGCGATCTGCTTCTCTGCACAATCTGCCCCTCTCTTCTGCCTCAGTTTCCTCATCTGAAATAGAGCTAACACTCCCATCATTGTGGCATTCTTGGAGATTTTGGCCACCCACAGGCAAGAATAGAATGCCTTCTGACTGAGGGGTGCTCCTTAGCAAGAGTTCCCATCCCTTTCCCTGAGGGTCAGGGTGACAGAGACATTGAAACCTGAGGCCCAGCAGCCTAGGGGCGAATGTGCCAGGGAGTGGGGGCTACATGCAGTTGACTGTTAGGCTGGAGCCAGGCTCCAGCACTATAAACCATGACTTCATGGCTGAGCGCATTTGTTTGTGCTTTGGGGATTTGCTCTGGTTTCCGGAAGCTGCAGCTGCCTCACCCCTCCTGGTATCCCCGCCCCCTCTAGTCTGGGGGTAGCTGAACGGGATCAAATGAGACAGGCACATGGAGTCTTTCAAGTGCCTGGCATACTGAGCCAGGACTTCTGTTGGGACTTCTTATTTAAACTTTTATTGGTGGTAGCAACATCAATATGTATTCAGGCTTCTCCCTATTGCAGCGTCAGTTTGAGAGCAAGACTTTAGACCGATTAGACTTTAGACCTGATTTCTAATCTTGGTTTCATACCATCTAGCAAGTGTGACCTTGGGTAAATGGCCTTTCCTTTCTGAGCCTCAGACTGGGGATAATGACAGGGCTTCTTTAGGGGATGGAAAGCATGGAGCCCTGAGGATTAGGCAAGCCCAGCCTCTAGCTCCAGCTACCCTGTCTGTCTGTCTGTCTGTCAGCAATACTGCTTTTTGCTCTTTTGGCCTCCCTTGGGGCTACCAGACATTGTAGGGGGGCCATCTAAGCTTGTATACTTTTTTGTCTATGTTGTAATTTTTTCTGTTTTAATTTTTCAAGCTAAGTTGGTGGGCTCTCTTTTTTGTGGGGTGCAGTACTTGGGTTTGAACTCAGGGCCCCATACTTGCTAGGTAAGTACTCTCTTGCTAAGCCACCCCTCCAGTCCTGTTTTACACAAGTTATTATTATTATTTTTTGTCAGTCATGGGGCTTGAACTCTGGGCCTGGGTGCTAACCCTTAGCTCGTCAGCTCAAGGCTAGCACTCTACCACTTGAGCCACAGAGCCACTTCTGGTTTTTTGGTGGTTTATTAGAAATCAGAGTTTTATGGTCTTTCCTGCCTGGGCTGGCTTTGAACCATGATCCTCAGATCTCAGCCTCCTATGCACAGGGTATTTTTGAGATGGAGGTTTCTTCTTGCCATGGTACGTGCCTGGACTATGATCTGTTTTAGGACTCCCGTTATAGTAGGGATGATAGGCACATACCACCAAGCCCAGCTTCTTCCACTAAGAAAGAGTTTCATGGTCTTTTCTGCCTGCAACCACGATCCTCCCAATCTCAGCTTCCCTGGTAGCTAATATTATAGGCATGAATCATCTGTACCTGGCTAGGATAGGTTTCCTTGACATATCATCCTGGGAGTGAGGAGGGATTCCATGGGAGCAGAAGGGGAAAAGACCCAGCAACTCATTGACTCATGGGAATCAAGTGGCCTCCCCAGGTGGAAGCTGTGGTGGAGATGGGGCATCTCCCCAGCTGGAGTGAAGCTTGTCTGAAGCTGTTCAAGGTTGGGATAGTTTGGAACAAGTTGGGAAAGGAACCTTGGCCTCAGCAGCCCACCCTGGACATTGATTGGTGGGCAGTGGAAGGGAGGTGCAACTTTCCATACACAACTAGTTCCTTGTTCCTTTTTCTCCCTTTCCCTTGTTTCAGTCTGATTTGTTCATCCATTGTGAGCACAGGCATGATGTGGTACCCTGATTTCTTTTTTCGGGGGGGGGGGGGGCTGAAAACTCTGGACCTGGGCGCTGTCCCTTAGCTCTTCAGCTCAAGGCTAGTGCTCTACCACTTGAGCCACAGCGCCACTTCCGGCTTTTTTCTTTTTGCTTATGTGGTGCTGAGGAATTGAACTCAGGGCCTCATGCATGCAAGGCAAGCGCTCTACCACTGAGCCACCTTCCCAGCCCTGGTGCCCTGATTTCTATACCTCACCACCTTTGTACTTCCCCTCCTCCCGCCCCCCCCTGCCCAAGTAAGATGAAAGAAAGAGTTGAGGGGCTTCCTGGGTGACTTAACTAGCCCCCAAACAGGGACCATAGCTGGAAGCTGAATGTGTCCTACAAAGCAATCATCTTGGCAGTTCATTAAAAAATCCTGTGTTGATGCTACCTTGACCTTGTGTCCTTTCAGCAACTCTGCGTGGATCTGAAGTATTTTACAAAATCAAAACCAGGTTGGCCAAGTTCATGAAAATATAAAGTAAACTTCTACAGTTCATTAAATAGGATTAATTGTTTAAAATTATAGTAATGAATAAAAAGCCTTGTATTTTATGAGTACCTTCTCTGTTCCAGCCACCACTCCAGCATTAGGTCATTTATTCCTTCTAGCAGCCCTTGTGAGAAGATTGTGTCAACCCTCTACTAAATGCTAAACAACTTGTCCTAGCTCACAGCTCATATCTCGTTTTCTACCCTGTCATGTCCTTTGCTGATACTGAGACATTGCTCACCCTTCTTCATGAACAAGGGAAGGTTGGTGGCCTGCCGTGGTCATTGCAGTTGAAGAGGCTCATAGATCCTGAACTGTCCTTCTGGCTGTCCTTAGAGACCTTCAGGCCAGAGGGACAGGGGGAGTAGAAGGAAGGGAGGTAATACCAAGTTTCCTTTCTGGCTGTTGTTTTTTCTGGCCTGCCCTGTACCCTGTACACTGCCAAAGGGTCTGTGCTGAGCTGGGCTTGTGCCCAGGCAGAGGGCAGAACCAGGGGGAGCCCTGTTTGTTCTCTTTTGGAGAGAGGCGGTACCACAGCCATTTCTGATCCTGGAAGCATGGCACTGGGCTGGGTACCCCACACAGAGGTCATGCTGCTAAAGCCTTCAAGACCCTCAGAGGAATCTGACTCCACTGGCTCCTTCAAATCCCTGGGGCTCCCAGTTTAGCTCAGCCTGCCCTTAGCAGTGTGTGACCCTGAGCATGTCACTTCCTCAGAGCAGCAGTCCTTGTCAGTAACCTGGGCTGGGACAGATTGGGGATAGAGACGAATGAATCCTAACACCCTGTAGATATTCAACAATTGGCATTACCTGACCCACTCAGGGTTGGAGTCTACTTGCAATTTATCAGCTCAGAGGGGCTGTCCTCATTTTTCCTGACCTTCCCACATAACCAGCATGGAACAGGACAGAGGGTGTCCTTCAGGAAATGGGGTGCTGTTGCTAGTTCATCCTGGATTGGAGATTACTGCTCTGTTAGCTCTTTTTTATAGGGATGAGTTGGACGCTTGCCCAGCCTTTGTCATTCCGGGCGTGTTCTATTTCCCAGACAACTGGAAACAGTCCTGGGGGTTACTGTGACCTCCAGCAAGTCCTGCTCCCTCACCATCAGCTCCTGGGAGCAGCAGCCAGTGCTCACTCGGCACTCAGTGTGGTAGGCACCGAGCCAAAGCTTGTGTATGTGAACTGATTTGATCCTTCTGTGAGGTTGGTCCTGGTGTTGCAGTGCCCACTTATAGCTGAGGAAACTGAGGCACAGAGCTGGGGAGTGGTTTGTCCAGGGTCATGTGTTGCTCATCTTGCTCTGGGCTTCCACTCCAGCCTATGCCATCCTCAAGATGAGCCCAGGCCCCACCTGAGGACAGAGCCAGAGGGTGGCAGGGCCAGGTTTGGGGACCATTAAATGCCACATATAAATAAGTAATTTCTTAGACCAGACAGGACTATTATAGCTTTTGGGTACCTAGAGGGTGCTCAGATTTGGGCTTTGAATCTGCCACCTTCTGAATGCAAGACTCTTAGGCCCCCTTTGTGCCTCTGCTAATTGGGGATGATGAGAAAAGAATGGCCTGCATCTGATTGCTCTGTAGGTAAAGTAGGACAGTCAGCAGGACTTAAGTGTCCAAGCCAGTACCCTCCAGCCTGCTCATGCCCTTGTCCCCCCTACTGTGGTCTAGGTCTCTAAGGACATCTCCATGCGTCTGCACAAGGAGCTTGAGGTGGTGGAGAAGAAGCGGGCACGGCTGGAAGAGGAGAATGAGGATCTGCGGCAGCGACTCATTGAAACGGAGTTGGCCAAGCAGGTGCTGCAGACGGAGCTGGAGCGGCCCAGAGAGGTGAGGGCCACCGGCACAGTGGCCTGGGGCAGGCAGCAGGTGCAGCGTCACCTCACCGGAATCTGCTTGTGGGGCTGGAAGCTCTCTGCTATGCCTCCTTAACCTGTCCAGCATGCATTTCCTGAGCATATACTGCATATACTGAATTACACACTTCCTGAGTGTGACCCGTTACCACCCCCCTCCTCATCTTGGCTCAACCTGGCACATTCTCTCCTGCTGTTAGGAATCTAGCATGTTCCATACTACATTATACAATAACTTTCTAGAAAGCCCATCAAGGCATTGATACATTTTGTAAATGGGCAAACAGACCCCAAGAGAGTGGGATGGCCTCAAGGTCTTGTAGGCCCCAGGGGGTCTGCAGAATGCTGATGCTGGTGGCAACACTTTGCCCTGGGTGACTCTTAGAGACTGGAATCTCTCCCCCCACTCTTGCTCCCCCATTCCAGTCACCTGCATTCCAGATGGCTGGGTGGCCTCTAGCCCCAGAGGCACCTGGGAGCCTCAGCTGGCTGGCTGCTCACAAGCCATCCAAGGCTGGTACATTCTTCAGGGGCACCCAGCTGCTTCCCCACGGGGCCTACATGTCAGCAATCCAAGTCGAATAAACCACAGCCCTGCAGACAGAACAGTCCTTCAGCTGCCCTTCCTGCTGGGTGTGTTGGTGTGATGTACCAGCACTTGTGTAGAGAGGAGGATTTGCTACTGAAAATTGCTGTGCCACCCTGCCCTGGTTGACAGATGGGTGGAAGGCCCCTCGCTTCTCACAGCCACAGCCTGCCCATAGTAGTACCTAGTAGCACAGGTGTGGTGTGATGTCATCTTCACACTATCTTATTACTGCTACCTCCATCACCTCATGATGAAAAGGGGGAGACTCACTTTCAGAAAGTACCTCAGGAAGTAGCACTGTGGCTTAAGTGGTAGAGTGCTTGCCTTGAGCAAAAGAAACTCAGGACAGTGCCCAGGCCCACAGTTCAAGCCCCAGGACTGGCAAAAAAATAAAAAATAAAAAAAATTCTATGGCTGGAAATGTGGCTTAATGGTAGAGTGCTTGCCTAGCATTCATGAAACACTGGGTTTGATTCCTCAGTACCACATACACAGAAAAAGCCAGAAGTGGTGCTGTGGCTCAAGTGGTAGAGTGCTAGCCTTGAGCAAATAAGCTCAGGGACAGTGCCCAGGCCCTGTGTTCAAGCTCCAGGACTGGCCAATAAAAAGGGAAGGAAGGAAGGAAGAAGAGAGAGAAAGAGAGAGAGAAAGAAAGAAAGAGGAAGAAAGAAAGAAAGGAAGAAAGAAAGAGAAAGAAAGAAAGGAAGAAAGAAAGGCAAAGAAAAAGAAAGTAAGAAAGAGCCAGGCACTGGTGGCTCATCCCTGTAAGCCTAGCTACTGGAAGCTGAGATCTGAGAATCATGGTTCAAAGTTAGCCTGGGCAGGAAGGTACATGGTACATTAACTACCAGAAAACTGGAAGTGGCATTGTGGCTTTAAGTGGTAGAGCACTAGCCTTGAGCAAAAAGCTCAGGGATGGCACCAGGCCCTGAGTTCAAGCCCCACAACAGACAAAAAAAAAGAAAAGTACCTTACAGCTCAGCCTGTTTTAGTTGTGCAGAGGGAAACTAAGGAAGAAAAGTGAGCAGAGAAGAACAGCTTGCAAGTTCAGCCTTTCCTTAGCAGTGGAGACATGGCTATGACCCTCTCCCAAGTATCAGTTGCTACTTCTGTGATGCCAACATATAAGCAGTAGCCAGTTTATGAGGTGACTTCAGATCATTAATTAGATTGAATAACCAAGCCAGATGTCAGTTGTTCATCCTGTAATTCTAGCTACTCAGGAGGCTGAGATCTGAGGATCAAGATTTGAAGCCTACCCAGGCAGGACAGTCCATGGAATTCTTTTTTTGTTTGTTTGTTTCTTGTGGGTCGTAGGGTTTGAACTCTGAGCCTGAGCACTGTCCCTCAGCTCTTCAGCTCAAGGCTAGTACTCTACTACTTGAGCTACAGTACCACTGCTGGTTTTCTAGTAGTTTATTGGAGATAAGAGTCTCACAGACTTTCCTGCCTGGGCTGGCTTTGAACTGTGATTCTCAGATCTCAGCCTCCTGAGTAGCTAGGATTACAAGCATGAGCCACCAGCGCCCGGCTAAAATTCTTTTTTTTTTTTTGGTGTGGGGGGGGTCTGGACGTGGGACCTGAACTCTGGGCCTGGGCACTGTCCCTCAGCTCTTCAGCTCAAGGCTAGCGCTCTACCACTTGAGCCACAACGCCACTTCCAGCTTTTTTCTTTTTGCTTATGTGGTGCTGAGGAATCGAACCCAGGGCCTCATGCATGCAAGGCAAGCGCTCTACCACTGAGCCACCTTCCCAGCCCCCAGCTGAAATTCTTAACTACAGTTAATCACCATAAAGAAAAAGAAGCTGGAAGTAGTGCTATGGCTCAAGAGGTAGAGCACCAACATTGAGCAAAAATACTAAAGCACATACACAAAAGAATATGATGATACGATAGTGTCTCAAAAAAAATCCATCAATTCTGATTCTACATATAAACCCTACATAATTGAAAATGGGATGTTTGTAAACATAAAGTTTATAGAAGTAGCATTATTCACAATACCTCAAGTGTAACCCAATGTCTATCAATAGATAGGCAGGCAAGCAAAATAAGGTTTTCTGTAGAATGGAACGGTGTTCAACCTGTAGAAGGAATAAAGTAGCAAGGCATACTCAAACATAGATGAGATGGGCATGCCAAGTGAATAAGCCAGCCAGATGGATAAATTCTTCATAGTCTACTTGTATGAGATACCTAGTGTAGGCAAATTCATAGAGACAGAAGTAGACTAAGTGGTTTCTGGGCTAGGTGGGGAGGGAGTGAGGAATGGTTGTTTAATAGGCCATAGTTGAGAAGATGAAAGGGTTTTGGAGACAGGTTGTAGCTATAATTGCACATTATGAATGTACTCAGTTCCACTGAGCCATATACTTAAAAATGGCTAAGGCTGGAGGTAGTAGAGTATGTGCTTAGCATGCGCTAAAAACAAAACCAAAGCCGGGTGCTGGTGGCTCACGCCTGTAATCCTAGCTACTCAGGAGGCTGAGATCTGAGGATCGGGGTTCAAAGCCAGCCCTGGCAGGAGAGATCGTGAGACTCCTATCTCAATAAACCACCAGAAAACCGGAAGTGGCGCTGTAGCTCAAGTGGTAGAGCGTTCGCCTTGAGCTGAAGAGCTGAGGGACAGTGCCCAGGCCCAGAGTTCAAGCCCCACGACTGACAAAAAAAAAAAACCAAAAAGTTAAAATGGTAAATTTCAGCTGGGTGCTGGTGGCTCATGCCTGTAATCCTAGCTACTCAGGAGGCTGAGATCTGAGGATCACGGTTCCTGGGCAGGAAAGTCTGTGAGACTCTTATCTCCAGTTAATCACCAAAAAACCGCAAGTGGCACTGTGGCTCAAATGGTAAAGTGCTTGCCTTGAGCTGAAGAGCTGAGCCCAGGCCCAGAGTTCAAGCCTCACAACCAACAACAACAAAATTAATGTTATGTGTGTTTTACCATAATAAGAAAATAAAGATGGTTAAAATGATACATATTATATTAGGGTTTTTTTTGTTTGTTTTTGTTTTTTGTCAATTGTGGAGCCTGAACTCTGGGCCTGGGTGCTGTCCCTCAGCTCTTCAGAGCAAGGCTAGCACTCTACCACTTGAGCCAAGCACCACTTCCAGCTTTTTCTGCTTATGTGGGGCTGAGGAATCGAACCAGGGCCTCATGCATGCAAGGCAAGCACTCTACCACTGAGCCACCTTCCCAGCTCCTTGTTGTTGTTGTTGTTTGGTGTGTATGTGCCAGTACTGACTCAGGGCCTTAGGTCCTTGCTTTGTTTCCCTCTTCCCACTCAAGGCTGGCATTTGAGCTCAACCCCTACTTTTGGCTTTTTGGTGGTAAATTGGACGTTAATAGTCTCAGATTTTTCTACCTGAAGGCTGGCTTTGAACCTCAATCCTTAGATTTCAGCCTCCTGAGTAGTTAATGCACCTTTTTTAAGGTGATAAATAGCCAGGTACCAGTGCCTCACACCTATAATTCTAACTGCTCAGGAGGCTGAGATCTGAGGATCACTATTCGAAGACAGTCCAGGCAGAAAAGCCTGTGAGACTCTTATCTCCAATAAACCATTCAGAAAAAGCTGGAAGTGGTGTGTGGCTCAAGTGGTAGAGCACTATCCTTGAGCACAAAGACAGAACATCATTCAGGCCAAGTTCAAGCCCTAAGTGGACATATATGTGCCAGTGTGGAAAGATCTCCAAGGTATATAATAAATCAGGAAAAGGAAGTTATAGAACTGCATATATTGTGTGAACTGCTACATACAACAGAGCCAGAGTGAGTTTTGTTGTTGCTTTTTGTTTTGTTTTGTTTTGAGATAAGGTCTCACTGTGTGCCCAGGTTGGCGTTGAACTCAGGATTTCCTGTTCCAGTCTTCTGAGTTCTGGGATTGCAGGCATATTACCACCATACCTAACACTGGTACCAGAGTAGATTTTGAAGCATGTATGCACAGCAAAAATCGTCAGAAGGCTTACTGTATGGAGAGTTAGAAATAGTGAGAATCTCTGGGTGCTAGTGGCTCACGCCTGTAATCCCTCTGGAGGCTAAGATCTGATGATCAAGATTCAAAACCAGGACTGGGAATGAGACTCAGTGGTAGAGTGCTTGCCTTGCATAAATGAGGCCCTGGATTCAATTCCTTAGCACCACATATACAGAAAAAGCCAGAAGTGGTTCTGTGGCTTAAGTGGTGTAGGGTGTTATCTTGAGCTGAAGAGCTGAAGGACAGCGCTCCCAGGCCTAGAGTTCAAGCCCCCTGACGGACAAAAAAATTTTTTTCAAAGCCATCCCTATTAATCAGCAAAAGCTGTAAGTTGAGGTGTGGCTCAATTGGTAGAGCACCAGCCTTGAGCAGACAAATACTAAGTAAGAATGTAAACCCCAGTACTG